TGATCCAATCATCATCATCATCATCATCAATGATAATGGATCAAAAATCAAATATTCTCGAATCATCATCATTGATGATGAATCAAAGTTTCATCGATGACAAAAAAGTTTCATCATCAACAATGGAGATGAATAAAAATCATAAGAAAACGACAATGTCGACGACGACGACGACGGAAACTAATAACATTGACCTTGGCAGTATCAGCGACGACGATGATGATGATGATAATCATCGTTTTGCCTGTGAGGTAGGCCATGAGTACAAAAAAAAACAATTTTATTTTTTTGGTTTCCCGTTTTTCCGAAAAAAAAGTTATCGTTGCCAAAAAAAATCAAAAATTGATATTGAAACTAAACCAGAACTAAAAAAACCAATGAATGTGCAAAAAAAAAAGAACCGAGCCAATCGCGGTTATTTGGCTACGATATGGACCATTAGACACAGACACACGGGATAACAATTTTTATTTTTCACCCTGTATCTCCATTCTAAACATCATCATGATAATGATGATGATCACTGGGAATTTTTGGGAGTTGTGAAAAGATAAAGAGAAAAAAAAGTAAAAACGTCTTTATCATCGTTTTTTTCGGGTTAAAAGTGTGTGTTTGGTTAAAAATTACTGAATAAAAATAATGAAAATGTTGGTGTTGTCATCATTACAACCATCACAGTTGTCGTTCAAAGTATGTAATTAAGCAATTCACAAAACGAATTGAAACATTTTTATTATCGATTATCAATGATTTGATTTGTTCCACTGATTGATTAATATAATTACTATAATTTGTCAATCAATAATTTTGACAAACAAAACAGAATAACCATATTGATTAGAATTTATTATTCGTGAAATGAAAAATAATTCAATTAAAACAAAGAATAATGATGGTGATGGTGATAATAATCGAATGGATGATTATCGATTATCAACAATGCCATAATTGTAGTGGCTGTTACAGAATCTCTGTATAATAATTATTAATCAGAAAGAAAAATTAAATCGAAATACTGCTTCCATGGTTAATGAGTGGAAAAAAATAACGAGGAAAAAAACAAAACTTTCAGGAAAAAGTTCCAATGTACAGAAATTTTATTTTTTTCACTGAAAAAAATAACGATAATGATGATGATGATGGAATTTTTATCTATCACACACATACACACACTGATAATAATTTATTCGGTCGTCTAATTATTTATTCGCATATGATAATCAAATTAAATGTATAAAAATTATAATAATGGTGATCATCATAATCATCATCAATGACCAGAAAAGAAAAAAATTATTCATATGATTCGTGTGTGTGTGTGTGTGGAAACGAGAATTCACCAGAAAAACAACAATGTATACAAATATATGATCAATCAACAAATGATGGGAAATTTTCCATAAATTCTTTCAATGAAAAAAAAAGTTTTCAAGAACCCACTACATACACACACACACACACACACACACACATTAAATATGAGATAAGCAGCAGCAATAATAATCATCGTTAGTTATAGTTAGTAAGAAATGAGAAAGAATAAAAGTTTTATTTTCATTTTTTTCTTCTCATTTCATTTAGATTTCATAGAGAAAGTTTATATTATAGTAAATTAACAGAAAAAAATGGATGATGATGATGATGAGAATTCAAGATCCAAAACAACAATAAATGAATGAGAAAATGAAACCGGACACTAGCCATGAACGAAACATTAACGAAATAATGATTTTTACCCACTATGGTAGTAGTGAGTGGGTTCCAGGAATCATTAAAAATACCGTTTTCCCCATTCATTCATTTTTTTCACTTTTGATTGGAGTTGCTGTTGCTGTTACTGTGTGTTGTGGTGGTGGTAATAATGTTTACCTGAGAATCATGAAATTCACTTGTTCATAATGATAATGATGACACTGACCAAACGGTAAATGATGATGTGGGAATGTATAGTGTTGGTGGCGGTGGTGGACAAGACAAAAATTATAATTGTTTCGATCATTGTTGGTAGGTGGCTCGAAAAAAAATGAAATAAAAAAATATTACAATCAACGTGAATATGAAATTTGCAACCACACAAAAATGGAGAGAAATGTCAAAAATTGTTTTGTGGAAATGACAAAAAGAATCCTGATGGTGGTGGTGGCAGTCTCCCCTATTTTCAGACAGAACCTGTGCCCATTATAATTCTTTTTGTGTAATAATAATAATAATGATGATGATGATGGTGTCACACATTTTTAGCAAGAATGACATTCAATGTAACACACACCATACACAGAATATTTATTTCAAGATGTCAAATGTTTTATTTTTTTGACATTTTTCCATTTTTGCTTACGTTGTCGCAGTTGCTGCTGATGCTGATTATATTTTGATTCTTCGATTTTTTTTTCAGGCATTTTTTCTGTTGTTATTTCTACTTTGACAAAAATCTTAATTGTAAAAATCAAAGAAAATGTTTCAGTTTCATTTTGGACAATTCTCGAGAGTATTTTGAAATTCTATCGCAAAGAGAAGAGAAGTGAAAAAAATTTTCCATTTTATTTTAGATTAGCTTTTTTTTATTCTTCATCATTCTACGATTAATTGATAAATGATGAGATTCGATTTCCGGAAAATTTTCCCTGAACAACAACAAAAGAAATGGAAATTTTTTTGAAAGCAAACAAAAATAATGAAAAAAAAATCTAATAAATGAATGATGAACGATGATGATGGAGAGGATGTCGTCATCGTCGTGGTTGTCAACGGAATTTTTTTTTTGTCAAAAAAATAGAATATCATTACCATTTCTGTGTGTGTGTGTGGAATATATGCAGAAAACATTCATCGTCGTGCCAAACAAACATCGATCGATTGGTCAATGATACCGATAGCCGATGACAAATGGTTTTGAATTTTTTTTTTCCATTCCAAGTTTCAGAAACCAAACCAAACCAAAAGAAAAGAAATTTTTTTTGTTGTTGTTGTTCTTGTTATACAAAATGATTCAATAAATAAATGGACAAAATAATATTGAATATTACCTGAAAATATCCATATCAAAAATGTATGTATCTGAATGAATCTATGTATGAAAGGTTCGTGTTGTTATTATCATCGTTTTTCGTAGTTGTCATACAAACTTTAGGGACCAATCTATCAAACAGCGGAAAAAAAACTGATCTATCCGATGGGATTCACAGCAACACTGTGTGTGTGTGTGTGTGTGTGTGTGTGTGTGCATGCAATATAAGTGTTTGTTGTTTAGTTTTTCGATTCTTTTCGAGAGAAAATTCCCGAAAAATGAATGAATGAATTTTTGATCAAAAAAAACTTTTTAAAACACACAAACACACTTGAAAAACTCGAAATTTTCATTTCTCATGTCATTATTATCATGTTATGGGCATTTTGTTTTCATAAAAAAAAATTATCGGCAACAATGGACAATGGATATATAAAAATCAATATTTTTTTCCCCGGTCATAATGTTCCCGGTCAATTTTTTTTCGTTCACACAAACAAAACAAAAGTTGACATTTTTTTCAACACAAAATTGTCCTATCGGTGTGTGTGTGTGTGTGTATGTGTGTGGTTTGATCTTTTCGATCCACACGATTCAATCAATATTTTTTTCATTCACTTGTAAACAAAAGTGGTTCGTTTGCATTGTTTGTTTGAACACAATGTTTTTTCATTTTGGCCGTAATCGTTGTCGATATATAATCATCATATCAATTTTTTTTTTGCACTTTTTCCGGACATTTTGGCGTCAAAAAAATTTCAATTTTTTTCCTTTATTCTTTACACTGGATTTTCAGAGTACATTTTTTTTTTGATCTTTTAGAAAATTGTTACACAAACAAAAAAAGAGAGAGAGAGAGAGTGAAAAATAAAATATATAAACTTGTCACATGATAAACTCTCTCTTACTCACTCTCTTTATGTATTGTTCATCATCTCGACAAAGTTTGTTTTATTTCTATTTTTAATGTTCCGGTGGTGATTCCATTTTGTTTGTTTGTTTGTTTTTTTTTTACCAGTGACCAACACAACAAAACACAACACTAGGGCTAAAATGTGTGTATGTTTGCGATATAAAAATCGGTATCGATCGATGAAAACTGCAAAAAGAAAAAGACAAAACAAAAAAAAAATTATTGTCACGATCGTACGGTTGTACGAAAAAAAGTTTCTTGACAACAACAACAACAAAAATAGGAGAAATTTTTCCTTTTTCAAGTTTTTTTTTCGTGGGTGTATTTTTTTCGAGTTTTGAATTTAAAATGAGCCCCTGTTATGATCCATAAAAAAACAACGATGGATCCAAGTGGACCGAAAAGATTAGATTTCAACAACAACAACAACAAAATTACATAAATTTTATTTCAGACAACTTTATAAACGAGAAAATTTTTTTTTTGTCCGAATAAATCTGACTAGCGCAAGTAAAACATCCAACATATAATCTACGTAGAACAATTGACTACGGTCGGCCATAATTATAGGGACAAAATGGAAATTTTTTTTTTTGTTCCAGTTTACACATCAATTTAGCAGTGAAAAAAAAGACAGAAAAAAACAAAACAACAACAACAACAACAAAAAGAAATTTACTTTAATGAATTAACTTTTTTTTCCACTCATTCAATAAATGAACAAAAACATCGACATCATCCTCAGTCATTTTCATTATCATTATTACCCGTACAACGGATATTATATGATTATCGAGTGGAAAACAAAACAAAAAAAAATTCTTGGCACGAAATTTTTTTTTTTTTTTGGTTGTTAAAAAGTTTGCTGCATTGGAACATAATTATCATCATCATCATTCTTGTAATTGACTTATCTCAATATATATACAAATTACCCTAATTAATGTTGTTGGACCAATTCTGGATCGCTGCTTGATTCTAATTCTAATTTTTTTTTATTCTGTTTTCATTGATTTTTTTTATACTAGCATGGAACGATAAGAAAATATTCAATCCGAACACAGATTGAATGGAAATCATCATCATTAATAAACAGCATTGATCCACAACAACAACAACAACCGGAACAACAACAACAGCAGCGCCAGTATATAAGATCAACAATTGTTATGAAATGTTTGAATCGATTACAATGGAATCAGCAGCCAATGAATAATCATCTGAATGGACAGAAATTTCTTGCAATCATCAGTGATTTTCATCTTGATCCATCGTATTCATCCATATATGATGATAATGAAAATATTATCGATGACATTGACAATGATGATGATGATTGGATTTCGATTAAAAAAATCAACAACAATAATCATCATCGTCGTGATTATCGTAAAACAAAACGATCAAAACGTAGCCTTTATCGTTATATCAGGAATTTATGGCAAGATTTTCGCCGTATTCTTACACAGGATGAAGATTATTATGATGATAATGATAATGGTAAACAGCCAAAAATTAAAACAACAAAAACATCACGTGATACATCATTCGATGATGATATGATCTTATCGATGGAAAATGAAATGGAAGCCACCACAACGAATAGAAAGTGCCATTATAATAATGATAAATATTGGGAAGATAATACTGCTGCTGCTGCTGCTGCTGTTGTCGGTGGTTTATCGTCCACAACGGTGAAAAATAAATATTTTCTTTATAAATTTGGCAAAAATTCTGCTTCTGCTGCCACAGTTTCCGATGATAATGAACAAGGATGTATTGATTGCAGTAGTAGTAGTAGTAGTAGTAGTATAAGGGGCAGCAGCAGCATAAATCCATTTTCGAAAATTTCTTTACCATTCTGGTTCATACAACTAACGAATGGATCAATTGTAGAGATACGGTTTTTGAAACAAGATACAAATTTGTACATAAAAAATTGGAAAAAATATCTACTTAGTTTGCTGCAGAATAATATGACTGCCACCACAGGAACCAATGTGATGGAAACAAATCGGTTCGGTCCACATCATCAACAAGTTTATTATTATCGTAAATCAAACATATCGAAGAATGCCAAAATAGTCAAAATGGAAAAACATATCAAAAATTTCACTGATATTAACAAAAATGAGCTTGATGATGATGATGATGATAATGATTCACCACCGATCGCCATGATTGATTCCGATCAAACAATTCTATTTGATCGTCACCAATCGGCCATCATCGATTCAGCTGGAAATTATTCAATAAAATTTAATCATCAAAATGAACTTTGGCCATATATGGATGGTCAATTGTATTATAATCTAAAGGTAAATGTATGAGTGTGTGTGTACGATCAATTCGGATCAATAATTATCGATTTGATTTGATTTAATTTGAATTAATTTGAAACTAGATGATACCATTCATACATGGTAAACATGATGATACGGTTAAATTGCTGAATGAACATTTTCTAGAAAACACCAAACAAGAGACACTTGTTGCCCAGCAAAATGAACGTAAGTTTCGAATTTTTTTTTGTTTAGATTTTGGATTTTTTTTTCGTACAAATCAACCCGTTACAGATGAATCAATTTTGATGGAAAAATACACAAAATTATTATGGAAAATGCGTAGTAAATTGGGTAAAAATGAATATCGTTATTACACCACTTTATATGAAGCAGCTACAAGCCGAATGAATAGCCAAGGTAAGAGATTTTCATTTTTAAATTACTAAATTGACAAATCAATCAATCAATCGATCGATCGATTAATGTATCAAATACAGAACATGATTTATTACTTACATTGATTACATTGGAACAACAATTGAATCATACGATTCGTTCATATGATTCTATTATCGGCGATATACGTCGTATTGGTACGGCACATAATATACAATTAATTTGTGGCGTGAATCTCGGACAAATTGTTTCGAATGAAAATTGTCAAGCATTCATCATGTTGTTGTTGAAATGTTCATCGAAAACAGCACAACGTGACCTGTTATATGCATTACAAAATTCAAATCAACCCGTTGCTGTAAATCAAAATTCATCAGCAATCCAAAATGGTCAACAACTACCACAGAGAAAAATTGGTCAATTTGTAACAAGATTATTGCCAAATACAAATCGACCATCACGTTGGTTTATCGAAAATCTTTTACATGAATTATATCGTCATCAACAACAAATGGCCACACCTGTTTCAGTATCACTTTTACAATCGTTAACATTGTTAGCCCGAAATGAACAGCTAATTAAATTGAATGAAATGCTCAGTGTTTTCATCCTGAAACGTATCGATGAAATTCTGATGATTTCAAATGGATCAATGAATGTTCCACAGCAGCAGCAGCTTTATATTGTCGATCTAGTGAAAATGTTGGGCAATCTGAATAATTATACGGCCATTGAATCCGTCCATAGAAAATTAATGATGAATCATTCATCATCACCCTCGTCAACGACAATGACATTTACAACTATAGGTATAATACATGCATATCGTGAATCAATCAACAGGTTACAAGTGCAAAAATATCTGATGGAAATGTTTGAAAATTCACATTCTCATGGATCATCATCATCATCATCATGTCAGATACGACAAGAAATTGTTCAATTATTAATTAATAATGTAGACAGAATTTTCTACAACGAACAACAACAAAGACCAGAGAAAAAACGTTGGCCAAAATATGATTTCAATCAGCTGGATGAAATTCTTGCTCAAAATTTACGGTAAGTGAAAAAGTGTTACTGTTACCGAATCGATTCCCCAATTAATTCATTTGAATTCTAGAAATTCCAGTAATAACTGTGTACATCATTTAATAGTAGAATATTTTCAAAGAAAAACGAATAAAAAATCACACCAATATATTCGTGAATATGAATCAAAACAAAATTATGATTCAGCCAGTTTTGATTTTTGTATTAGCGAATCGAATGATGTTAAATGTGATTATGTACAAAAAATTGGCAATGATATGATCGATATGATTGTCAAAAAATCAATTTCAACACCTAAACCTTTATCGGCTAATCAATCATTGTCAATTATTTATACAAAATATTCAATCGATATAAATCTATCATCATCATCATCATCATCACCATCAACGTCGAGTAATACACGTTTAACATTAGGACATTTGAATGTTTATCAAACCGCATTCGCTCATCAACAGCAATTACGAATGGAATTTGATAATGTTTACAATGCAGAAACAATGTTATTAGGTTATTGGAACATTACAGAATTGACGAATCGAACAAAACACGTAGATATCATACAAATTAAGTTGAACATTCCGACAATAATATTGTGGTCAAAACGTTATCCTCATCAATTAGTTTATACAAAAATGATGAATGTTAATATATTGATTACATTGAAGAAATTGATCGATCCAAACACCATTAATCATCATCGTAATCAACAACAACAACCAGATCAACATTTAAATCACGCTAAAAAACAATTGAAAATTAATTTCGATATTAAAACCAATGTTGAATTAATGGCAACGAGTTTGGCATGGAAAAATAGCATCGAATTAGAAAGTAAGTGAAAAAAATGATGATGAATCGAATCGAAATGAAATGACACCAACCGTTGGTGATATTTGATTGATATAGGTCGATTTCAATATGAAAGCATACAGCCAATTTCGACAGATCAATTCAATAATGATCATGGTGGTGGAAATAGCCGTAGTCATAATCATAATCATAATGGTTTTGTCATTGAATCTGATAATAATAATCAATCGTCAGCCAACGTCCATCCATTTACAGAGGAGTTATTCATAGAGAATTCCTTACAATATCTTGGATCTGAATGGTTTCATCATGAAATTGAATTATTTCGTGAATTCAATAAGGTATGTAGAGGGTGCTGGTTGTGTTTTTCTCATTTCAAAACATTAACAGAATTAAAGAAGATTTTCTCTTCTTTTCGGGAAAAAGCCATTTGAAAATTTACGAAAATTTTTTTTTTTCAATTTTTTCCAAGAATTTTTTCCGCTTTTTTTTGAACAAAATAAATATTGAATGAACCAAACAAACAAACAACAATAGTGTGAATAAAAGCATTGAAAAGAAAAAAAAGAATAAAGAATTTTATTCAAATGGAAAGCGTGAAAATTCTGAATAACAAAATATTCTGTTGTGCTATGATTATTATTATTATTATTACTGATGATGATGATGATGAAGATGGTGTTTCTAGAGTGAATATTTTCTTTTCATTTTCTCAAGTTGTCAGGACAACATTGCCCAAACAAATACAGGAATCCTTTTGAACAGAATAGAAAAATTTATTAATGTTTTGGTGATGGAATCCACAAGAATATTTTTCCAATTGAAAGATGAGTGCACTACCATTATCATATCAATATCGATTGATGTGGCTGCTGTTAATATTATCATTTTTGCATCCAATTTTCATTTCGATATTGGAATAACACTCAAAACCTAAGAATTTGATGGCTTTCTCTCTGGGCTATTAATAATTTTTTTTTTCATTTTGACGAATTACAACAACACAACGACAGAAATGAGTGTTAATAATCAACAGAATGAAAAAAAAGCCACAGAAAAGAACCAATTTTTTTTTTGTTGCCAATCCAAAACGACAACACAATTCATAGTTTTAGTTGTTTTGGATTCATTTTTCCATTCATTCAATCGAATTATTGCAATTGCAAAAATTCTTTTGTTTGTTGATCGTCGATTGGTTGGTTGTTAGTCATTTCTAATATTTTTGTTCTCTCTTCTATTAATATTATATGACAAACGAATCACAAAAATGAATAAATATAGATGGATAGATCGATAGATTTAATAAGATTTTTTTTTCGCTTTGCCGAAAAAGTGTATCAACAACAACAGCAACGAAAATAATCATATCTTTATGTATCACGATACAATATTAAAAATGACAGAATGACGGAATTTTCCCTCAACAAATAAATAGTAGCTTGTTGTTTGTACAGAATTTACCGAAAAATCACTTATACAACGACATTACAGAGATGTGTGTATGAACATTCTTGTTTCCCAGTCAAAATAATAAAGGAAAATAAAACGAAAAAAAAAATTCAGAATTGGAATTTTTTTTTTGTTTTGAAAGCAACAAAAACACAAAAACAGTAAAAGCACACAAATAAACCATCATCAAAGATCGAGTGCAATCAATCCTGATTCAAATCGAAAATGAAAACGAATCGATAATACTTAGATACACAATATGGATGAATGTGGCAATCTAATTTTGTATCGAATTTTGTTTTCTCGGATTTTTCATTTGACTTTTTTTCCATTTTCCATTCTCACTTCTCATTCAATCGCTGTTTCTGTGTAAATTGTTTGTGTACAAAATGGCTTTACGTGATGATGAATCGAGCGAAAAATTGTTTCAAAAAATAATCCAAATTTTTCTTGTTTCGTTTTCACTTTTCCTCATCATTTTTATAGAGATTTGATCCACAATGTAATACATGGATAGATGAATCATCATCCACATCATATGGATCATATCGGCAGACAATTTCATTTTGGAATTCAACATTAGTACAACGGAATCTATTGTCATTATCATTGTATGAAGGACAACCAGATATGGACTAATCAATCAACCATTATGGTATATTTGTATGGCCCCATGTTCATTTGTTTCATCATCATCATCATTGCTTATTGTAAATAAGAATTTTGTTGTTGTTACAGCTGCTGTATTGTTTTTTTTTTTTTTTTGCTTGAAAATCAAATGTTTGCCCCATTCCTGAACCATAAAAAAAACTTGAAATCAAAATCGAACAAAATTTGAACAAAAAAATAATAATTAAAAAAAAGTAAAATTCGAAAAAAAATCAATCAATCAATCAATGAAAGTGATCCAAACACACGATAATCAAGGATTTTCAGTAATGTTTGTTGCATCACCATCATCATCAAATTGATTTTGTTCACAAACGCAAAAAAAATAAATTTCGTAATTGATTAAATATTGAGAGATAGTGAATGAATGAATGACAGGCCCACCAACAAAAAAAAAATGAATAACATCCACACACGGAAAAATATTTTGCAACAGCTTCTGCCATTACCTTCTTACGGTTCACACAATCAATCAATTATCATCATCAATGGATCGACGACGACGACGACGATGATGATGATGATGATGATAAAGAAACGAAAACGAAAGAAGAAAAAAAACGATACACGATACAAAAAAAAACATTTCAGAAACTTTTCTTCATAATAAAAGAAGAAAATGACAAGAAAAATATTCTCGTTTTTCGTTTTTTTTTGTTGTTTCGCATCCAAGAAAAAAAAATGAATAACTAACGTATCTTTTTACGTTTTTCATTTTCTTCACCATCATCTAATATATAATAATATCTGGATTGGGTTCCACACACACACAAAAAAATGAATGAATGGATGGCTGAAAAATGATCCAAGGGTTCCAGCACACACACACACACACAGCCCAAACAATAACCAAGTAAAATTGTAACGACCGTCGACCCATATATTGGCTTACATCAACACTACCGTCACTATTGAAATAGAATACAAAACAATGAAAATACACTGAAATTCTGTAACTCTGAATTTAGAAGAGTGGATGTTAAAGTAAGTATTGAGAGAAAGAAAGAACACACACACACATACACATAACTAAGAAAGAAAAAAAAACCAGGAAAAATCTATTTCACTATTAAATATCGAATGCCAATTCGAATAAAGAGAAAGACGAAGAAAAAACGATAATTAATGATTTTCAAACACCCCGTACACACACACACACACACACATGACCTATACCGCATCTTTTTTTGGCAGAATCAATACACAACGATTAATATAAGATGATGAGGAGAAAGAAAGAAAGAAAAAAATCTTACGAAAGAAATCTTTTGGAAACAAAAAGAAAAAAAAAAGAAAAAATTTTCGATAATAATAAATGACATTAAAGTTTTATATTTTCTTTATGTGTTTGTTTGTTGTTGGTGCATTGGTGGGTGTGTCTTGGGTAATTTAAGTTTATTTTTCCTCTTGCTGTTGTTGTTGTTGATGATGACCATTATAAAGCAAAATTGAAATTGAAAATGGAAAAAAAAAAATTTTTTTCCATTGAACAATCAATGAAAACAACAGCTTGAGAATTACAAAAAAAAAAAAAAATTTCGGATTCGATTGATGAGGAATTGGTTGTATTTTTGTTGAAAAAATTTTTTTCCAATGATTTCTGGTAAAAGAAAAACCTAATCACTATGCTCTGGGTTATTGGATTTTGTTTTTCTGTAAACAGAAAAATTGAAAGAAACTTTTTTTGTTTGTTTGTTTGTTTTAGGAGAAATTTTTTTTTCTTTGACGAAATTCATCATTAATCTATTTTTTTGATTTTAATTTCGTTCATTATCGACGAGAAGAAGAAAGAAAAAAAGATTAACTTTTTCCCATTCATTCATTTAGATAACATCCAAACACAAACACAACACATCCAAACAACAAACATTCATCCATCAAACGAACGAATGGATGAATGAATGAAAAATTCGATAACTCGATAATTGAAAGTAAATCACGAAGAGCTCTACCACACACACACACACACAGAAAGTAAGCCAGTGAATTCTCCATTCCATTGCATGAAATTCAAGTGTTTGTGGCGGTGGCGGTGGTGGTGTATGATAATCTTTCATTAATGATATGAATGCACGTACTCCACACACACACACACACACATTATCATTACTAAACACATCAAGTTATTATTTTCAAGCATCATCATCATGCTTTTTATCAGTAACAGCAGCCAGAAAAAAAAATGTCAACAACAACGAAAAAATGAATGAATCAAGTATCATCATCATCATCATCAATAATTCTTGTTGTTTGTGAAAAACAAACAAAATCCAAAAAAAAAATTTAGCTTTTTTAGAAAAAAGTTTCCCAGAGCAAAAAAAAATGAATACATTGATGAATGATGATCATGAGAATCTCTGTATGTTTGCCAGTGTGTTATAATCACTATTGTAATATATCCGCTTATCCATCATCATCGTAATCGTTGTTTTCACAGAATAATAATTCACATTTGTTAATCTCATCATCATTATAAACCTAACTCGATGATTTCCATTTTCATGATCATTCTGGTTCATTCTTCAAAAAAAATTACTGGACTAAACTGGAAATGACAACAAATGTCAATGACAATGTTTTCAACAAGAACAAAAAAAAATTGGACAAAAATTGCAATTTAATCGATAGATTCAAATTCCAATCAATGCTGTATGGTTTTTATTGCCAAACACACAACAAACATCGACATCTTGATGATGATGATGATGATTATGACAGTATTCAAGTGGATCGGTATATACATAGAAAATGTAACATTCTCAATTCTCTGCCATTCTCCACTAGTTGTCAACTTTTTTTTTGGTTTCGCTGTCAAATGTGAGATGGATACATTTTTTTCTCGTTTATTTCATTATTAATAACCAGAAAAAAATCCAGTGAAAATAAATTGAATGAGTGAATGGAACAACAACACTGATACCATCATCATCATCATCATCATCAGTGTGGTAAACGGTTTTCATTTTTTTTTGATTTTTATTTTGTCAAAATGAATTTACACACAAAACTCATTTTCATTTCATTCATTTTTTTGGATCGGTCCATTTCTAAATGAGATGAATATATATATTCGATTGAGGTTTCAGCAGCCCGAAAACAAAACTCAGATATTTAAATTCAGATTCATTACATAAATATATATGGTACAAACACAGTAGTTATTTGGAAAGTTGACATTTTTTTCAACTTCTTCTTCAAAAAAATCTCATTCCCGCCTTTTCATGCCAGTCCATCGGTAGTATCATTTTGAATACCATCAACATGAACCACATCATCATCATGTTCGATAATGTTTTTGTCATCATCATCATCATCATCTTGTATGCAATGTGAAATGTTCAATATCTAATAAGAGAGAGAATTATACAAAAAAATAACAATAATAATGCTCTCTAATATACAAAGTAAAAATGCATGTAATATTACACACGTATTAAGTTTGAAAATCACCAGAATGATGATGATGATGATGATGATAGTAAATTCTATAATTCTAATGACAAAGAATAAATATATGTGAAATGCGATTATAAATAAACGACATATATATTTTATATGTATGAAGAACGCCCCCATACAACACACCCATGACAAAAAAAAAATATTATTGCCTGATGAATAGTAGTGGTGGTGGTGATGATGATTATGATGTTAATGAAACACAAATAAGCTTTTTGTGAAAGAAAAAACAATAAAATGAATCTTTGCAATAAGGGGATGAGTAAAAAAAAACTAAGCCAAAATAGTGGCATTTCACCCACTTTTGTTCCATCATTGATGATGATGATGATGATAATGTCGTCGTTTATGTTTCCGAAAAAAAAACGACGACAACCAAAATATTATCTTTACAAACTCTATGTGTGTGTGTGTGTATGTTTCATCAATAAATGTTTCATTTGATAACATTCATTTCCACATGTGAAGACACTGAAACAAGAAATCTTTGTCGAATGAAATGAGTGAGAAAAAAAAACACTAAGCTAAGTTAATGCTAAACGATGATGACGATGATAATAATAACTGTAAATAACTGTTACATTACATCAAATCACCATGATGATGATGATGATGATAATAATGGCTAATATAGTGGCACAAACACACACACACACAAAGTCAATGATGATGATGAAACCAAATGAATTTTACTCAAATGATGATGATGCTATACTGAATGATAATTAAGATTCTGAATGAATAAAATATCTATGATGATGATGAAACTTTATAGCAGTAGTAGTGTGAGCAAAAACGACGACGACAACAACGGATAATAATCATCGTCACAGAATTTCTGAATCTGCTCTGAGTTTTGGACTAAATGAATTTTGTATTCAATGAGATGAATCAAATGAACGGAATAACCGGGGGATCATTCTTCCAAAAACAGAATGAATTTCATTTCGCAGACAATTTAATCAAACATTTTTGTTTGCCTGGTTATTTCGAATTTTCATTTTCATGAGAAAAAAAAACAATATAAAAAACAACAAACATAATTGAATTGCCACTTACGTTATACACATATCATCAATGAAAATGTTATAAAATACATACAGACATAATATGGTTCATCATATAGAATAATAATGAACGACTACGACGACGACGACGACAAGAATCATAAATGAAATAAAACAGAAAGAAATCAATGATCAAAAAAGAAACAAAAAACGAAATCAAAGCTGATTGAAATGGAAAACAAACAAAGAAACGAAACAAAACGAAAAAAAATTATACATTTTTTTCCACCCACAACCACCCCGGCGCCCGTTCAAATATACAATTCTACAATGGGCATCATGAGGCAAATAATAGCCAACCAAAGATCGAAAATCTTTATCCGTATCGAGAATAATAATAATAACACACATTTGTTTTATGTTTATGCTGGCCATTTTGAAACAACAACAACAACAAAAAGTACAAAGAATGAAATGAATATTCTTATATATTCTGATCTGATGGCCAAATGTTACGACAACATCGACATTATTATAATACAAAGTAAAGAAAATAAAAACAAATAATAACACAAAATCGAACAATCGATCGATTGAATCGATTGGA